CCACTCTTCAGTTGCCCGCAATGAGCAAAAGAGGACTTTCTACCACTGTAGGGCTCTATGAAATCCACATTAACGAGAACACGGACGGAATTGTAGAATCAAAACAATAACCTGGAATCCAGGCTCTTTCCAGCACTAGGACCGCAGTGGCAGGTGAGCAGGGCAGGCTGCACAACTGAGCTACATGCAGTTGCTGGAGGTAAGAGACCAACAGGCTTGGGGAGGAAGTTTCAGGGGGCTAGGGCCATGAGGGAATGTACACGTTCGGGGAGAAGGGCCCGCATCTGGGATTTAAGGGCAGTTTCTGAGAACTCAGTTCCTTGTGGTGTCAGTTTCATGTCAGGAGTTGCAGGTCCCAGGCAGAACCCAGCTACACAACAAAACATTGATCAGCACAACAAGCAACCACTTCTCATCCCTCACCAGAACTGTGTGAACAGTGGTTGGTGTTTCTGCGCAGCTCTCAACGTGAGCCCACCGGATCTTTACGCTTACTGGAAGGTTATGAAGGGATGAGTGCCTAAAGTAGCAGAGCTTGCCCTACCTTATGTCCTCTTCCCTGTCAGCTCTGTAGACACAGAGAGAAGCTCAGTAAATATAAAAATCTACTTACAGACAAGAGGGAATCACTTTCTGAGAAAAACACTAAAAGGCTAATCACATTGTACCACAATGGAGATGTCTGCCAGAGATGGCAAAAATAGTGACATTTTAAGTTTGTGAATTTGTAATGCTACTCAGTAATAAAGTACTGATTTGATAGTTTGAAATTATTTAATCAAATCTTAAATTAATTTCAGCATTTCTTCAGCATATAGGAAGCTTGAAAGTTTGGAGTTTAATTTAAAATGGCAACAAGGACTGCTGCAAGGATGAATTATTTTATGTTTAGTGCATTTTATTTTTTAATTATTCAAATATGAATACAGTTAAATTTGACACCGCAAGAGGCTGGTGCACAGTGGCCTCAACCACCTCTGCAGAATGCACAGAACCCTGCTGTAGTTATGGGCAATTTTAATAGTCACCACATGCAATGGGGCTATGCAGCAAACAGCATGGCAGGCGAAGAACTGACACACTGGGCGTCGGCAAATGATATACTCCTCCTTTTTGATGCAAAACAGTGCGTCACTTTCCCCTCTGCAAGGTGGGGTAGACAACATTGCCCTGCCCTGTCATTCATCTCTAAAGATGATACAGGCACACCAATACCTGTATCGCAGATGGTCTTCAGTAAATTCCAGAACAGCCAGCACAGACCAATACTGAACCATATTGGCATTCAAATCCCACTTCTCTACTCAAATCCAGCACTGCGCTGGAACGTCAAAGAAGCAGACTGGGTCGCTTTTACTATAACCGTGGACAACACAATCTCCAACAGTTCCCCAATACCAAAGACTTTTGACAGTTTTATTGCACTCAATCTCCACCACAAAGAAGAACATCCCCCAGGGACTCAAATCATTGTACACTCCTTGCTGGGCTGCAGAGCGCAAAGAGCTCTGTGACATTCCCCCGGAGTTATCTGGACCAGTGATTTGCTAGGTCATTCCAATCCTCGACTCTGCATGCCAGCCTTACCCTGCTCTGCTGTAAGAGCCCCCACTCCCAGGCTGTTCACACACAGCCTCTAGCACGTAAGCTGCTCCCAGCTACGTGAGTGGACACTCTTGGCCAGCTGCTGCTTGGATTGTGCAACCGAATGACACTAGCCAATCTCGCCGGTCCCAGACAACCCCAGGAAGCTCTGTCTTGCAGTGTCCAGTTATGCCCGCTGGACGCTGCACACTTATACGAGTTTGTCAATTTAACAAAGAAATGGATATGTACCAGGCTTGTTATCCCAAGGGGAGTCTCTGACAGCTTCAAACCAAATGCACTGCTTCAGGTAGAATAAACAAACAAATTTATTAACTACAAAGATAGATTTTAAGTGATTATAAGTCAAAGCACAACAAGTCAGATTTGGTCAAATAATAAAAGCAAAACGCATTCTAAGCTGATCTTAACAGTTTCAGTGCCCTTACAAACTTAAATGCTTCTCACCACAGGCTGGCTGGCTGTGCTTCAGCCAGGCTCTCCCATTTGATCAGCGCTTCAGTCACTTGGTGGTGGTGTCTGTAGATGGATGTGAGCGAGAGAGAGAGAGAGAGAGAGAGAGCGCACGCGTGCATGGCAAATGTCTCTCCTTTTTATCATGTCTTTTCTTCCCTCTTGGCTTTGCCCCCCAACCTTCTTTCAGAGTCAGGTAAGCATTACCTCGTTGTAGTCCCAAACTGACTAAGGGAAGGGGGGTGACTCACTCGAGAGTCCAATAGATCCTTTGTTGCTGCCTAGGCCATGTCCTTTGTTCCTGTGAGGCTGGGCTTGTCCCATACATGGCCCTGATGAGGCGTGACCTGCCCCTCTGCTCCTGGAGAGTTTTTCCTGGGCCTCTGCTCCTGGAGAGTTTTTGCCTGCGCATGTTTTAAGCCATGAGGACACATTTTCAGTCTTATAACTATATACATAAAATTACAAACTATAACAACAATGCTCAGTGCATCATGAGCCTTCTGAAGACACTCAATATGACAAACTTTGCATTGGATACCACACAACCATATTATAGGGTGGAACATGGGGGTACAGGGTGTTCCCCAGAGGTACAGAGCAACACAAACTCCTCCACAAATATGATGATTCTAGAGACCTAGAAATTTGAAAGATCCTCCTGGCATCACTGGATCCAGCAAGGCAGAAATGGTGGCTTGAATGCGTAGGTCTAAACTTCACATACTTGAGCAGACATGCCTAGAACTTGCTGAGGCTGCAAATCCTCACGTGCCACTAGGCTGCAGATGAAAGCCAATGCTCTCACTCCTAAAGTTTTGTGGACATCAAAACAGCCAGTGAACAAACAGTATCGCAGACAAGTCCAGCATTGACTTTAGCAGGTGACATCCACATGCCCTCCAGCATTCCAATGGTCTGGACCATTCACAGGTAAGGAGATTGATGCAAGAAATTGGGAAAAGCAGCAGGAAAAGATGGTGTCCATCCTGAGTCCACTGGCATGGAAATAGCAGATGCAACTTTTCACCAACATCCTGAAGACCAGTGAAATCCCCGTGTGTGGAGAAAAGCCAAGGTTATTGCACTCCTAAAGCCTGGAAGACCTGCAGATCACCCTTCTAGTTACAGGTTAATCTCCCTCTTGAGGACCACCTACATGGTGATGTGATTAGATATGATTCTAAACCAAATCAGGCCCAAGTGGTTGCAAACCAACCCAAGCAGCAAGCTGGACCACACAGAAGTTGCGGTGACCAGGTCCTGGCCCTCACTATAAACATCAAAGCTATATTCCAATGAAAACTCAAGACCAGTACTGCTTTCATCCATCTGTCAGCAGGATATGACAGTCTGGAAGGGTCGTCTGCTACTGAAGCTGGCCAAAGAGATCCTCTGGGTGCAGATTTTCAGGCTGCTGAACACCATCAGCATACCCCTCAGAAGTCAAGCCAGTAAGATGCTCACTTTGAATAATGGGTTATCACAAGGCTCTGTACTTGCTCCAACACTCTTCAATATATACATGAGCGATATGCCTGAAATGATAGCACAGAAGTTTGTGTATTCTGATGATTTGGCATTCGCAATTCAGGCCCATAGCTTTAAAGAATTTGAAGTGACCCTACACCTCTACCATGGCTTTCTATTTAGCAAACATCAAATCTCCAGTTATCCATCAAGATATAGCCACAGCACAAGAACTTAAATGCACCAAAAACTACCCAGACCTTCCCATCTCGCAGATTATGGAGAACAACATACCCCAACAGTGCCTGAAATCATGAAAACTCATGACCATCTCATGTCTATGGATGCGGCCTAGAAACGGCAAAGCATCTGGACTCCATCTACCATTCCAACCAAGCTTATTGTTAATGACCCAACAAGCCGCCCTCCCGGTTTCAACCTGCCACGCAGACTTTGGACCACATTGAGCTTTATCTGAACAAACCATGGAAGATACAACTACTTGATGCACAAGTGTAAAATCAGAGACTCATTTTCATGCAACTGCGGTGAGAACATCCAAACCATCAAACACATCATAATTCAGCACCCCAAACATGGATTCAAAGGTGAATTGGATGATACCCACCACAGCACAGAAGAGGCCTTGAAATGGCTTATAGACCTACAACTGCATCTATCAAATGTCACTCTGCAGATGCCAAATGCTCATGAGAGATTAAATGATTCAAAAACAGTGAATATTTTCATGTGAAAATTACACTAATCATTTTATATAGTCTTCACTGAATATTTATAAAAGTAACTGCTATGTAAAAATACCTTTCTTCAAAAAAATTTTTGCTTACTGGTAATCTAAGATGTACTGCATGTATGCACGTTTGTGATTTCTTAACAGGCCTCAGAAATGGAAATGGACAATATATTATTATAGAAAGTAACAGGACAAAACAATAATACAAACAAAACTGAAGATTAAGAAATGAAAACCATCAGAGATAACAAATAAATTTAGAAAATAAACAGAAATGAGAAATATGGAATTTTTGTGAGGAAATACAGTTGATTAGTTGGAAAAATAACTGCATGGCACTCACAGAGGAAGAGGAATTTGTATTAAGATGAACAAAATATAACTAGGAGTAATGGAATTAAATAAATACAGGAAAAATGTAGGATAAATGTCAGGCAACACAAACTTTGACAGTAAAGTCATTTAAACTGTAGAATTCTCTCTTAAGCAGGTAGAAAAACCTTGCCATTTTACTCATTTTAAAGTAGACTGAACACTAGTTACTGTATAAAAGAGAATAATCTAACACCGGGAAAAGAATAGACTAAGTGATGTAACAAGTCATCTTCATCTTCTGTAAGTTAAGTAAAAATAAATATAAATAAAAATATAGTTGATAGAATGCATTTTCATGTCAGTCAACTTTTCACATTGTACTTAATAAAACATATGGACTTACAGAGGACAGCCACAGCTCCAGACTCAAACAAGAGGCACTCTTCCTTATTTCTGGTTTCCACTATCACACTGAATGGAGGTGGATCCAGTTTGTGGTAGACCCGATATCCTTTGCTGAAAGCCATTTTTCCTTTATCAGAGGCAGCCCTGTCCAATACAAGACTATGTTAGTGAAAGCTTCTGTACCTTCAGGGTTCTCACTGCAAAGCAGCCCCAATTCTTATCCTCACTCAGGTATTTTAAGAGAGTATCTAATTGGGGGTTGGGTGAAGACATGAAATGTCATGAGGAAGACAGACAGAACCCACACAAGGGCTGAATGATTTAGGATAAAGCTCAGTTTGCTTAGAAAAATGTATTCAAGGGATATTTATAGACAAGCATTACAGTGAGTTGGTTTTTAGAACATACGCACTTAAATAAGCAACTTTTAAAAGAGCTCATTTGCAAATTTCACCAAGTTAAATAATGTTTGTGAAATAGTTTGTTAACAGATTATGATTTCTTGGATGACAGAGAGTCATTGACAAACAGATCACACTGAGCAAAAAGAGTGACAGCTACCTAATGATGAAAGTAGGTGACTGGGAGCCCAGATAGAGCTAGCTAAAAATGGAACCTATTAGTGACTCTGACCAAAGGGACACTGTCAATAGTTTAAGCCCAAAAGCTGTTTATTTTTACAAAACTTAGTGGTGACAGAAATGTTTTTGGTACTACTGTCATTTTAATGGATACAGGTTTTTGTTGTGGTTTGTTTGGATTTAAACCTTCCTCTCAATCATTACAACACTAGGCTAGTGAAATTGACTAGAAACCAGAAGATAAGACTCCCTAAGGAGACTATAAATTAAAGTGAACTCAGAGTCATTTGGCTAATTTTAATCACACAAAACAATAAAAACAAAAAGGATAGGGGGAAAAGTACAAAAGGGGAAAAGCAAGTAAAACAAAGAACACTATTACAGCAATCTAACGTGTTGTTAGTAACAAGGGCAAGGCCTTTTTAAAACATCTGGGTTACCTTTTATCCTAGCAATACGACCTGAGCCTCTCCATTTCTCAATTCCCGTCTCTAGAAAGGGCCCGATATTTACCGGTCTCCTCACGGGGAGGGGGCGCAGCGGGCACAGAGCGCTCTGCCATGCTCGGATTATTCCCCTCCTAGGGCCAGAGACTCCGCGGAGGACGAACGGCAGCGCCGGAGCGGCGGGGAGGGGAAGGGACGAGACACGGGCGAGGTCACCCCGGGCGCGGCTCCCTCGGGGCTCCCTGGGATAATGCCCGGGGGCCGTGCGTGGTGAACAGCTCACGCGGGGGGGAGGGGCGCAGAAGCCCCCCCCAAGGCAGGGACAGGCAAACCCGAGAGCTGGGAGACAAGCGGCCCTGCCCCTCCCCCGGGGACGGACAGACAAACCCAAACACCTCCCCCCCCCGACGGACGGACAGACAGGCCGTGTGGGCGCCGCTGATGTTCAGTCATCCACCATCTTGTGCAGCTGCTGCGGCGCCGCTTTCCTCAGCCCCGCGCCGGTCGCACCCGGTGCTGAGCAGCGCAGCCTCCACCTGCCCCGGGCCACAGTGACACCGTCCCCGTCCCCGATCCCCGCAGGCCCCGGCCCCTCACCGGCTACGCCGCCACCTCCAGGGGCGCCTCCTGCTACTGCAGCTGCTGCCGGCGACAGCGGCTACCTCACTTCCGCTCTGGTCCGACCATCTCTTCCGCATTGCGCCGCCCGGGGCCGGAAGTTGGGGGGTGAGGAGGGAGAGCTGAGCTGCGCGTGGCGCTGGGTGCGCGAGGCAGTGAGAAGGGGCCGTTGCTGTCACGTATATAAGCGCTCACGAGCCTCCAAGCGGAGGGGTGCGCGAGACCCCCGCATCCTTGCGGGGTATGGCGCGTCTCACCCCTGCCTCGGCCTGGCTGGGGGGGAGGTAGAGTGTCGGCGCCGCCCCATGGCTCGCGCTGGGACCCTCAGGGGGCCGGGGTGTCGCCGCGGGCCGACATGGGGGAGGGGAATATGAGTTAAATTTGTGTCTAAAATGAGCGACCGTGCCGGGAACCCGCCCCCGCGGGCCGGCTGAGCCCCGAGGGGAGTGAGAGTGGTCGGGGCTGGGGGGTATTAGCCCAGCCTCGGGTTGGGGGTTGAGGCCTGCAGGGTCTGGGGAACCCGCCCGACCAAGAGGAGCCTACTGCAGTGTTGCCAGCGCTTCTGATTTTAAAACCTCATCTCCTGGGATCAGGGGAGAATCTGCTTTTCTTAAACAAACCACCCTCAACTACGTGGCTGTCTCGTGTGGGTTTGGGGGTTGCTTGCTGTGTGCTGAGCTTGTGTGTGTTTGTCTGTTTGAAGGACCATGTGCTGTGGCTGGGGGTTGGAAGCGGTGAGCTTGTAAACAAGGTTTGAAATCTAGAAGCCTCTGTTCATTGGCTGAGCCTTAGTCAGTGGTCGGGGCTATCAGGAAGGCCTGGGCTTTATAAAGCTGTGAGCAAGCAACCAGGGGCTGCTAACAGGGAGTTTGGAAGGGGACAAGGTACACTTGCCATTCTTCAAACCAAACTATAATCAAAACTTCTTGATTTAAACAAAAACCCTTTCATTAACCTAGGTAGCTGTGGGACAGAATGCAGGTAGAAGCCCAGCAGCAGAGTGAGGGCTAGTGTGTTCATTGCGCTCAGTGTAGCATGTATAATTACCTGCCTATTGGGTGGGTGGTGTATGTGTGCATTTGGTGCATGGAGCTCCTAGCCCTCAGAGACCACTTACGGGCTTTGGAGACCAGGGTGGCGGAACTATAGGACCTAAGGGAAGCAGAAAGGTATGTTGATGAGGCTTTCTGGGACACTAGATTTGTCCCACCTCCGGTCAGACAGCCCCTGCACTGTTAAGGAGGATGAAAGGCTCAGGGAAGGAGAGTGGTCAACGGGAGCAGAGGGAAACCTTCCCATAGTTGGGACCCTCCTTCCAAATGATGTTGGGGTATCCTCTCACACTGAGGTTACCTCTCCGGGGGAGAGAACTCCAGTCATTAGGAAAAGGCAGGTGTTAGTAATGGGAGATTTGATCATTAGAAACGTAGATAGCTGGGTTTGTGATGACCAGGAGAACTGTATGGTGACTTGTCTGCCTGGTGCGAAGGTTGCAGCTCTCTCGAGGCATCTAGATAGACTTATGTGTAGTGCTGGGGAGGAGCCGGTGGTTGTGGTACATGTAGGTACCAATGACATAGGGAAGGGTAGGAGAGATGTCCTGGAGGCCAAATTTAGGCTGCTAGGAAAGAGACTGAAATCCAGGATCTCTATGGTGGCATTCTCAGAAATGCTTCCAGTTCCACATGCAGGGCCAGGTAGGCAGGCAGAGCTTCAGAGTCTCAATGCATAGATGAGACGATGGTGTAGAGAGGAGGGGTTTAGATTTATTAGGAACTGGGGAAACTTTTGAATGGGGGGAGCCTCTACAGGAAGGATGGGCTCCATCTAAACTAAAGTGGATCCAGACTGCTGGCACTTAACATTTAAAAAGCTTGCAGAGCAGTTTTTAAACTAAGAGATGGGGGAAAGCCAACTGCTGCAGAGGAGCATGTGGATCGGACAGAGACTTCTCTTGGAGGAGAGTCTATTAATTGAGATTCTCTAGATTTTAGTCAGGAGGAGAAGATTGAAGAGGATAAAGTAAGGGCCAGATCAGACAAGAAACATTCACGTAAAAAAGAATCTGACATATCAGAAAAGGGCAGACATATAAACCCCAATATACATACAATATGATGGAGGCTAATTTAGCTACAACTAAGCAGGGAAGAGATCTTGGAGTCATCGTGGACAGTTCTCTGAAGATGTTCACACAGTGTGCAGCGGCAGTCAAAAAAGCAAACAGGATGTTAGGAATCATTAAAAAAGGGATAGAGAATAAGATGGAGAATATCTTATTGCCCTTATATAAATCAATGGTACGCCCACATCTTGAATACTGTGTACAGATGTGGTCTCCTCATCTCAAAAAAGATATACTGGCATTAGAAAAAGTTCAGCGAAGGACAACTAAAATGATTAGGGATTTGGAACGGGTCACATATGAGGAGAGATTAAAGAGGCTTGGACTTTCAGCTTGGAAAAGAGGAGACTAAGGGGAGCTATGATAGAGGTATATAAAATCATGAGTGGTGTGGAGAAAGTGAATAAGGAAAAGTTATTTACTTGTTCCCATAATATCAGAACTAGGGGCAGGTTTAAAACAAATAATGAAATTAATGGCAGCAGGTTTAAAACAAATAAAAGGAAGTTCTTCACACAGCGCACAGTCAACCTGTCAAACTTCTTGCCTGAGGAGGTTGTGAAGGCTAGGACTATAACAGGGTGTAAAAGAGAACTAGATAAATTCATGGTGGTTAAGTCCATTAATGGCTATTAGCCAGGATGGGTAAGGAATGGTGTCCCTAGCCTCTGTTTATCAGAGGGTGGAGATGGATGTCAGGAGAGAGATCACTTGATCATTATCTGTTAGATTCATTCCCTCCAGGGCACCTGGCATTGGCCTCTGTTGGTAGACAGGATACTGGGCTGAATGAACCTTTGGTCTGACCCAGTATGGCTGTTCTTATGTTCTTAACTGGCTGGCTGGGTGGTTGCTGAGAAAACTTGCATGGTAACTTTTTAGTAAAAGTCAAGGACAGGACAGGTCATGGGCAATAAAACAAGAATTCTGGGAACCCCATGACCTGTCCATGACTTTTACTAAAAATAACTGGCAAAATGGGAATGGGGTGGTGGGGTCCACCACTCACCACGCCACCCAGCAGCTGGGAGCTCCACCCACGCCACCCTGGGACTGAAGCAGAAAATGTCTCAGAGGTCTCTGGAAGTCATGGATTCTGTGACCTCCATGATAAAATCTTATCCTTACTTGTGGGTGATGGAAAGTTTGTCCTCTTCCCCTAATGGGGGTGATGCCCTCATGTCCAGAGTGGCCTCCCAGGGTCTGCTTCAAAGCACGTTGAAGTCAAGGGAAAGACTTTGGATCAGGCCATGTCCAACCACATTTACAATGTCCTTTAAGACCTGTTTTCCTCAAGGTCAATTGGTGGTGTGATATGTGGCTAGGGAAGGTTGGCACGCCACTTTTTTAAAAAAATTAAACCACCACTATAAATTATAAGTCTATCACTGATCTCAAGCCCTGTTCCTGCAAACATTTACACATGAGTAGTCCCACTAAGCTCAAAGGACTTGGAGTTAAGCACATACTTAAGTGTTTGCAGGCTGAGGGTCCCTCAGTTGTAAACTCTTCAGGGCAGAGACCATATCCACATTTTATGTGTTTGAACTGCCATTGAGCTACATGATGTGCAGTCCTGGCTGGGGCATCTCCGTGCAGCTATGGTAATACATCAAACACTGGTCAAAATGGCCCTACCAGATTTCACAGGCCAGTATCCAGCAAAGTACCTAAGCACATATTTGTAAGCATATGAGTAGTCCTACTGAAGTCAGAGTATATTGTATGTGATTTGTTGGATTGGGTTTTTAATTTGTCAACCTTTTTATTATTCATTTTGCCCCTCTTATTATTCTACTTTGATTAATGTATTTTGTACATCTTTACTCTAAATGAGGTTTAAAATTATAAATACAAATGTTTAAATGCCATTAAACAATCTAATAGAAACACACTAATGCGACTAACACAGTTAATGCCACTGCAGAATTTATTTCCGAGGTATGCTGGATGCAGAAAGATGCTCAGCTCTTGTAACAAAACATCCATTTTACTAGACTAGCATGAGGTTCAGTTTCAGGTAAAACATGACTATCCCTCTATCTGCAGCTACAAATTTATGGAGCCTCCTAGTTATAGTTCCCATTTATCTCAAGCTCGTATCTCTCAACTATTAACTCTAAAATAGAATGATGAATAATTTGTGCACTTAAATTTAAAACCAGATTGTCATTTTAGACACTGGATTTATTCCCCAGGTTTTAGAAACATGATCGTGGGATATTTAATTTCCACTTGGGTAACTATCAAATGGACAGGTAGGGTTGTCACATTTAATTGTCTGCCTTTCAAGAAAAGAAAAATATAACTTCAAAATTTATATCATGCAGCAACATTAGGTAGTTAAATGAGGTTAAAGTCTTCATATAAAAGCATTGTTACATCATAGCAGCATGTTTCCATGCAGGTTCCCTAAAATAATTTTGAGGCTCTAACATTCTGAAAGATTCAGTGGAATGAGTTTTGGGGTAAATAAGAGAGAAATCTCAGATTAAGAACTCATGCAAAGATTGGTACCTGAAAGAGAGAAAAGATCACATGCTAAATTCTCCCCTTCCCCTCCCCAAACTTTTCAGTGTCAAATTTAACTTCCTTTTATGTTATTTGGGTGCTAGGTCCTTTTCTTATTGCTAATGACTTTGCTCTTATTTTACAAAAAGGCTCCTTTTCAGAATAATCCAATCACTCAAGTGCTGCAGGTGGGGGAGATTAGTAATTCAACAGGACATCATCTACCCCCAGCCCCAAGTCATTACTGATTTAATAGCCCAGTAATCCTGACATTCTTCCAGTGAATTTAAAATCGAGGGTCTAATAAGCTGTGGCCACTAGAGACCCCATAAAACTTACTGGAAAATTTAGGGAGTGCATGTTTTTCTGGCCAAATGCCAATTTGATATTTATTTACTTGGGACCTTCCTACATCCAGCTAGCAATTTTAATTGACTACTGTCCTATTGAAATATGGAGATATACCTATCTCATAGAACTGGAAGGGACCTTAAAAGGTCATGGAGTCCAGCCCCATCTTCACTAGCAGGACTTGGTCCTGATTTTGCCCCCATCCCTAAATAGCCCCCTTGAGGATTGAACTCTCAACCCTGGGTTTAGCAGGCTAATGCTCAAACCACTGAGCTATCCCTCACCCCTAAACTATGGTTCTGTGCAATTATATCCCCCTCTAGAGATAGCTGTATAGCATTGCTGAATGAATGAATTCTTGCATAAAGCTACATAGTTTATAAAGTGCTTTGAGATAAATGCTACATTAATGAAATTTTAATTTGTCACTAAAGATGCAACACTTTTAAACAAATAAGGTTCTCTCTCTAGCTGAATATTGTGCTCAAGTATTTCTAAAGCTCAAATCATTTGTAGTTCTGTAAAGGTGACTGCAGTACAAATTTAAATTCCTTATTTGCCAACAGAAAATCAACATTATAGGAGCTTCTGCACTTATCCTCCAGATACATCAACTTTAATCTCAAAAGGTCCTCCTCAAGATATGAAAAAAGTTCCATCTCCATTCAGTCCTTCCTCTCTCTGCTACAACAATGAAGGTGGCAAGTGTAATATGGATAACAGGAAACCGCATTGAGACCCTAGAATTCATTTCATATAGGCCATTAGCTGGCAGTGAAAACCATCCGAATGTAGCAACTTGATCACTACCAACATGGGGCACATGGATATTCCTGTTATCAAGCAGCCCCTTAAATGATAAATAGCTGGATTTCAGTGTTTTACATTTGGCAATAAATTCTATGATTTTCTTAAAATCGTCACAAATTATGAAAAAAAAAGTATAAAAGTATCGGTTGTTTCACTGCATCCTCCAGCAACAGAAATTGAACATAGTACTTGTTTCTACACCCTTCACTAACTAAACTTAAAAGTTTGGCATAGTTTTAAATATTTAATTCCTACATGCATCTTAACAAGGTTAGAATTACCTTTACTCCTTTTGTTTTGCCTTTTTAGCATGCCACCACAAACTGATGTTCATTAAAGATGTAAATTAGCTATAGTTAACTATAGTTTTCTCAAAGAAAATGTTTAACAATAAATATATATTGATAAACTGCCATTTTATAATCTGACAATCTATTAAGAAAAATCACTCTACTGTAATGAAAAAGCAGGTGTGTGTGTGTTGTACTCAACAGGCCTATAAATATAATAAAAGAATTACTTGTTTGACAACCCAAATCGATGTAAGATGCCATAACTTGAAGCTTTGTAAGTAGCAGCAGCTTTCTAGCAGTGGTCTTGAAAATGTCCAGCCTGATCAATATAGTATACAGATTTAATCAGTGAAATAATGTGGTCAACTGCAAGCCTGCATTTTTATTTTTTAAGGGGCATAACACCTCCTACTGCTACTTGGTCCAGAGGGGAACAAGTGGGTGAAAAGAAGGGGCCACTCCCTCAATAGAAACTTAGCTCCAGGGAGGGTAAAGACAACCAGGTGGTTAGAGTTTGGGAGAATAAAGTTAAGTGCAAAGAGCATAGTGAGATACTGCTACCCTCAGGAGTCAAAATTCCCCTCTGCATGGAGGTGGACACAATTGGGCAGCAGAGCAAAATAGTGTTCAGCTTCATAGGGCATAATAGAATCAGCTGTTTCTCCAGATCTGGTCTTCCATTAGAAGTACCAGCCAGATACACTGGTGGGGTTCTTCTCTGCCTCTCACTGCCTCCTAAACAAGATAATATGGTAGTGCATCAGTGGTGGCTCATACAGCTATTTGGGTTTGTTTGTGGGTTTTTTTATTATATTCATGGAGGCCATATCAAATAATTGTCTACATTTCCCCACACTGCCTCTGCCACAGTACATTCTAGCCCACAGTGGAGGTGTTTGAATTTGCCAGAATTCCTTTTCCAGATAAGGTATTAGATTGCAGCCATTGTTCAGGCCACAGAAAATTGAACAACATTTATATAATGGCTGTTAAACCCCACAATTCAGTTACTGAGGAAGTCTTGCTCCAGGGGATAAGAGCTCTACCTCAGATGGAGGTGACTGAATACTTAACAGTGTTATCCTAATATATTATAAAACAATATACACTTACACTGGTACGGTCTTTAAACCCCTTTGATTAAAATTGCATTTGAAGGCACTCCGTTTTACAAGATTTTTAAAGAAGTCAAGTATGTTTTCTGCAGTTCCAGTAATGAAAAATGTTAGCTATTTACACTCAATAGCAAATAAAGTACCATTGAATATTCAGGGCTGTTGCTTTTAGCTAGCAACCACCGTAGTCATAAAACTCTGAATTTAGGAACTGCAGGACCAGAGTTCTTGCTGGAGCTGTGTGTAATTAAAAGGTATAGCCTCTCCATAACTAAGATTGCAACCAGAATTCCACTATAGAAGGTGGATTTTGATCCTAATAATGTAATGAGATCCCACCCGAAGACAATATGGCTTTGGTATATTTCAAAATCCTCCTTCCAATTCAAGTTTTTCCTTCATTATTTGTTTAAAGAATTAGTCAACAAGCATGCAGATTTCTTCCTTTACCTCTCTCCCAAGGAACGAACAAAATAAGCTTCACAGGTTTCACTGAGACAGCTCCATGACAGACAAGTTTATTGGAAGGATTCTTAAAAGCAGATACTCTGAATGTGCTCCATCAGCCCAAGTTCAGAAAACAATTGTTTGGTTTCCAAATGATGTGTGCATGTTACAAATTGTACATTTTTAATATCCTAATTTATACCACATGACATGAGCATAAAATACAGTGATTATAATGTTACTCAGTATGCCAATTTATTGCTACAATTCCCAACTAACATAGGGCACACCTGGAAATAGCTTGTCCAAAACAGTGACTGCAAGTTAGTGTTCCTGGGACTCCAAGATGTCACTAGTGTTCTGACAAAAAGCACCTCTTATACCTAAAAGGCCATTTTGTTTTGTAAGCTAGTCCATCTTTTTAAAATGGTCTTACTTGACAGGAAGTGTTAAATTTAAAAGTTGTTTGACTATTCACTGCGTGATATTTATATTGACTGAAATATTTGTTTCCTTTGCTTGGCTTTTACACCTCTAGAAATACCCATGTTTGAGCAAATATATTTCACATCTAAATCAGAGATATTATAAATTATGCAACAGAACACAAAGAGTAGATTTAGAGGAGTTGTTGAAGGGATGAGGGTTCAGGATCCATGAGTGAAATGCTGCCCCCTTCAAGATGAGTAATTGGGGGGGGGGGGGGGGAGGAGGGGAAGAGAGCCCACACCATCACGCAGTGTTGCCATTTAACTTAAAACATAAGTTACCACATGTTTAAGTCATCAGACTACTGTTTGCATCAAAAACTATGCTAATGAGGATTTTAAAAACAGTCTGAAGAAAGATCCATATTAACTCTGAATACAAGATGTAAAGTTAAGCTATTTCAGTCTGAGTGAAGCACAGCTGCTTTGTAATGTTAGGTGCTATGTGAAAGTTTCTTTAATATTTAGGTCAAATGATTCTCATATTTTGCCAGCCCTTTTGACCATTAATGCAGTCAGTTTATTGAAGTAAATTTCAGCAACTGAAACACTTATTTCAACAGCAGGAGACCACTATATCCAGTATGAAAGTAACAGGGTGGTATAAATATAAGCATACTGTATATTACACATTATATATTACACATACTCCAGTTAACCATGGGACAATTAACTGAGTAGATGACTAGTTATCATGGGGTACAAAATGTTTTTTGTAAACAATATGTTGAGAGATTTTAAGGGAAGTCTGACTGCTGGAAAGATGGTCTTCCTGGATTCCTTTTCTCTTTTTAAAGAAATCAATACTTATTAAGGATGATGTATGTAACAATGCACTTTGTATTAAAACAAGGATCAATATTTTACAGTTTAAGAAACTTTACATATGTACATAAATTACACATCAGGAATGGTTTTAAAGCTCAAAATGAGTCACCTAAAAGTTATTTCCCTTCAATTAAAACCTTTAACTCTTTCACATTATGTTCATTTGCAACTGTCACAGCATGGTCCAGCGCTCGAATACTTGCCAGAAGCTTTACTGTCTGTTTTATGTGCTCCCTAAATGATAGGAAAAAATAAGTTAATACAACTAGAAATCAAAATCTTGCACAATTCAAATAATATTTTAGAAGTGTTTCACTGCTTATTTTTTCTCACAGCTAGTGAGCCAGCTTGTGAATAATTTTTTTTTATAAATACGGCTCATTGAAATTAGTGTGTTTCTGGATATGAAAACAAAAAAAAGTGTCTTTTGGGGACAGCAATCCTAGAAACAAAGGGAAGACAAGCTGCATATGTATGGCTTATTTGGACATAGCATAGTCTCAGGACAAACTACTAGGTAACATGCGGTGTTAGGAAGTCAGTCACAGTTCCATTTAACACATACACTGCTTGAACCAAAAAATTTAAAAAATGAGCAGTTTTTGTGCATGCCACAAGAGATAAAAATACTGTTACACATTTGTAATAGATTGACCTGGATTGGGTAGTAATAACAGATTCACAGTAAACAAACTCCTAGCAATCTAGGAGGTACAAGCCTGGTAGGAAAATTTTAAAAGTCCCACAAAAGGAACAAGATTCAGACATGAAATTTAGCTATCTAAAGAAATTTTCATGACTACAGAAATTCAAAATCTACCCTAAATGGGACTTTTTTCTATCAAATTGAACTATGAAGCGGTGTCCAACACTCCGAGAAACAAACTGAAGCAAACATGGGTTATGATGTTTTGTTTCCCTCTTGGCACAAGAATTTGATGATTGTTTTTGCTTTGAAATAGAATGTAGTAGAGTAATATTTCCCCAGTTACTATGGGACGGAGGAGCCTAGATGAATAGCTATGTTACAAAGGGAAATAAGGACATTTATGTAATTTTGTAAGATGAAGTCAATATAAATCAGCGGCCAATTGCACAATTGTTACCAGGAAAGTTTGGGATTTATTGTATATTTCCATATACTTAATAAAAGTTATCGACACATAGCAAAGACAACTAAATTAATTGGAACTGGAATATCAGGAAGAAATCTTTTTGGCTCAATATCCAACTACCCATTCATTATTAATCCACAGTTTCAGTGCGAGTTTGCCAGACAAACAGCTAGTGTAGAAAGAAAATACCAATTTATAAACTAGGACGACTATCAAAAGACTTTCATTTTCTACTGGAATCTCTCTCCTCACCTCCTCCAATTCACCTCTAATAGCCACATATGGGCATTTAATCCCATTTATGCTTTTAGGTATGGTGATTCTCATAAGCAAGGGTAAACAATGTTATCTGAGAATGTAAGGAATTTCTCTAGTAGGTTGTTCAGGTGTGTTTAAGACAAGAGAACAATTTGGATTACAGAAATCTGTATTGCTGACAGTGGCGGGAATTTGCTTGGCAAGCAGTTAGCTGCAACATCAGTAAATTTGTAAAGAAACCATCAAAACCAAACAAAATCCCAAAATGCTACTTTTCAAGTAATTTTTTAGAGCAGAACTACACAATGGGAGCAGATTAAATATAACCTTTATACAATACACTAGCCATTCCCAAGAGCCATTGATATCATATTAAGGATCCTATTTAAACTTTAAAAAAGGGGAGAACTCCTCCCAAAGAAAAATATATATATATGGACATGTCTGTTGGCACATGTGCTTTTGTGCTGTGTATATCAGCAGCATGAGATGCCATTACATTAAATGATTCAAAATAAATTACCTTGCATTTCTTTTCTCCACATCAGAGCATCCAATACTGTTTCTATAAATTGTATCAGCCAGATGAACAAGGTATCTACACAAGTTTTCTAACTGGGAAATAGTCTTGTCCCCTTTTAGATTAGTGAACCACTGTTTAGGAAAGCAAGCAATTACCTACAGATGAGGGAAGAAAATGTGTTAACAGCAAAAAGGCAAGAAAGATGACTAATACCTACGGTCTGATACCAGTATTGGCACTGGTAAGGCCTAAAACAATAAGGTTTACACTGTGGGGATACTATAACATATTAAAGACCAATGTGAGAAATAAGATGCTAGCAACATATTCTAATCAATATCTTAAAAAAAAAAAATCACCAACAATATTGAGGATAGCAATAAGCAGAATTCTAATTTCACATAATGTATCTTCTATTAAAAACAGTTGCCTGTTATGAAAACATAGTAACTGTTTTATTTGTAAAAAAGAGATATGGGCAACATCGGAAATCTTAGGCTAAATACACAAAACCGAATAGTCTCCCTCTAGGGCTCCAAATATTCATTTTACTTGACTGGAAATTCAAGAGTTAGAAAATATTATATATAAAAACATTTTCTAAGTATATTTTGTTCCATTTTACTTACACTTTGAGCTTTTTTAATGCTGTCATCTCCATACTCAGAATTCTGAAAAGCCATAAGGATATATCTATTTAGCAGGCCATCTATCGATAACTCCTGTAGAGTTTTGTTTGAAAGAATTCCATACCACTGGAGAAAGTTTCCTAGTAACTAAAGACACCAGAGACAATGGAAGTGTTGAATATTTGAAGGCAAAACATAAGCAACTATTGATAAACTTAGAAAAAAAAAATTAAGCAGGTAAAAAGACATGTTTAAATGTACTGATCAGGGTGAGGTAAAGACAAACTTCTTATGGTTCAGTTTCATGACTAACTAGAACTAGTGAGATGTCATTCTTCCCAATGTTGTAACATTGGATTTGTACAGAGCATTCTATGGAAAATATATACAAAGAAACTACAAGAGCAAATTGAGTTTTTACAGCCAAAATTTGTTCTATAAAGTCTATTAACTGTAGTCTAGTGCAGTGATGTCCAAACTTTTAAGCCTGAGAGCTGAACAAATTTAAACAAAACAAAAACACAATCAGTACTTTGGGGGCAGACTCTGCCCTGTTCTTGCTTCCTCTGTACCACCTGCAAACAACCCTGGCACGGGAAAAGTCCCATTATCGTACAGACAGCATGGGTAGTGCCTACACTTGACTCCCCACAGCCATTGGTACAGAAGCCATGTTGAGCAGGGGAGAGTGACTAAGTGTTTTATCTCCAAGTGGAATATGGACCATAGGGAACCAATGCCAGCTGGTACAAGTTAAAGCATCTTGCAGACCAGTGCAGAGGCAGAGAATAACAGAGCTGTTGGTTCTCAGCTTCTTCTTGATCTCCATTCTCCTGTGCTGCAGTCAGTGGCTGTGTGGGGTTTAAGAAACTTTTTTGATAGGTACTCCTCTAAGCAAAGTCAGAGCTAGTGGAACTCCAGATCCTTTTTTCTGGAGCTTCCCTAGTCTGGCAAGAAAGCAGGCACACTATCCTGCAATGTGAAAGCAGCAGTTCAGAGCACTCCCAATTCACACAAAAGCTCCAGCTGGGGCTTCAAAGAAAGTAGTGGAAGGCAGTTTGGGAGGATGTGCCTGCTCCTACTTCCTCCCTGGAGCAGCAGGGATGATGCAAAACATTTCATTAAAAAAGTTACAGGGAACAACATTTTAAATGAAATAAATACCAGTTTTCTTAACATCATAGCTGTCGAATTGTGCTGCTCAGTGTGTGACATTTTATGCAGATTTAATAAGCTATTTTGCATGTTTGCAAATCTGAACATAACCAGAGACTTCAGCTTTCAGTCAATACAATCTGTCCTAAACAGTGAAAGGGGAAGACATGCAGCAGCACTAAACTTGATTGCTGTTGCTGTGGGGAGATAAATGGGTGTTGGAGCGTGTTTGGGAGCATGGGATGGTTTCAGTGGTAGGTGACTTGGGGCTGTCTGGGTGGAAAGCTCTGCAGGAGTACCTGGGGGAAAGCTGGTACAGATAGCTGTTAGAGCTTGGGATCAGTACTAGGCCCCTCACCTTCTCTCTGTTGCTTCAATGTGCTACCATTGCTGCCACTACAATGCTCCTTCCCTACTCTGATCCAGCAGGGGTAGCAGTGAGGCCTCGCTGCCTGCTGAGCAGGTGCCATAGCAACTCCTGGCAACCAGTTGCACCAATATTACAAGTCACCTCCACAACTTGCTAAGATGTCTCACAGGTTGTAAAGAATAAGTAACAGGGCTGTCAAATGGAAGTGTCCATGCAAGGTGTGTGTCACTTTGTCGTCAAGATTGTCTGTCAGGACTGCAATGTAGAGCCTCAGAGCCCCTAGACCAGTGTTTTTCAAAGTTCAGGTTGTGACCCAGTACTGGGTCGCGGCATGCAAGGCACTGGGTCGCCTTGCTCAGCACCCAGGGACCCTAGCAGCTCTGGTCAGCGCCGCCGACCAGGACGTTAAAAGTCCCGTCGGCGGTGCTGCACAGCTAAGGCAGGCTAGCGCCTATTTGTTCCGACACCGTGCTGTGCCCCGGAAGCAGCCAGCAACGGGTCCGGTTTCTAGGCAGGGGGGCCACTAGGCACCGTGCACTGCCCCTGCCCCGAGCATCAGCTCCACACTCCTGCATGCGAGAGCCACACCTGCTGCTGGCTCTCTTCTGGGCGCAGCGTAGTCTGCGATGCCAGGACAGGTGGGAAGCCTACCTCTGCACCCCACCTGTGCTGCTGACAGGGAGCCACCGGAGGTAAGTCTGTGCCCCAGTCCCCTGCCCCAGCCATGAGCCCCCCCCCCAAACCAGGAACCCCTTCCTGCACCCCAAACCCCTCATCTCTGGCCCCACCCCAGAGCCTGCACCCCCAGCCCAGAGCCCTGATCCCCTTCTGGACCCCAACCCGCTGCCCCAGCCCTGAGCCCCTCCCACACCCCAAACCCCTCATCCCCAGATCCATTGGGTCATAGGCATCAATAATTTTCTTCAACTGGGTCCTCAGGAAAAAAAGTTTGAAAACCACTGCCCTAGACCACAGGTTGAACACCATTGGTCTCATGGTTTAGCACAGAACTGGAAAGGCCAGGAACTCAATACCAATCCTGACTCTCGCAGACTTCTATGGCTTTGTCAAGTCACAATTATTCTGTGCCACTTTCCCCATCTGTAAAATGACATTTTCCTACCACATCATAGTGAAGTGAGGGGGTTATTGATGAAAATTGCTTTCAAGATGTGGCTGAATTTACTTAAAAAAACAAACCAACCAAAAAAAAGCAAGATCATGAACATGTGACCAATTTTGGTCTTCTACAAATCACTTTCATTTTAATGTTTGAGAACTGAGTGCCATGCCCAGTTTTTCCTTTAGAACACACACCCACTCACACCCATGAAAAAAATAAAAAGGAAAGAAAAAAGTTTAAAGGTGGCAAACTGTACACTTTTAAATTGAAATGTTTGTTGCCAAAATGTTACAAGTATTGTTATGTATATGAACAGATTTTCAAATATATCCAGAAATTGGAGAAACAATCCCATTCTCCCCAATTCAGTCCCAACACCACCACTGAAAAATCCAAGATCAACTACTGTTTGCAGAAGTCTGTAAAGTTTGTCTTAAACTCCAATCTATGCATCCACTTCTTTGGTTCATTTGTTGAGTTCATATACTTTATTTCAAATGAAAGGGCAAGCGACCATTGTCTCTAATTTCAACAGTCGCTAAAGGGGAAGGAAAAAAAAAGAGGGCCACCTTCTGACTGCATTTGTGAAGGTGTTTCCTCCATCTTCTCTCTACCTCCCTGGCCTCAAGTAGACCAAGATTACATTTGTTCTAGAATTCTACAGCAAGCATTGACTGAAAGCCGATGGGATAAATAAAGGTGTCACTTGTGCACAATGAGTTTGATGTTTCCTACTTTTTTAAAAGTTAAAAATAAATACAACCTAAGTAGCTGTTCTGTCCTTTATCCCCAACCAAGACCTTTCATTTTAGTTAGCCTGTTTATATTTTGCCCGCACACTTTTAAACTGTCAGTTTTTTTTTTTTTGGTCATTTGGACTATCAAGACTGATCTGCTTTGTATGTCAAATAAATACGTAATACATAATTTTAAAACAGTTGTCATTTACAAAGTGATCTGTCCAAGATCTCTCTTCTCTTTGTATAAGAGATGGTTTTAAAAGGGGATGAAATTTTGTCAAAAGGTAATTTCCTTTAAACCTTGTAGTACTTAAAATTAAAATCTTAAAATTACAAATGTTCACCATATCTGTACTTATCTACCCCACTCAAAGTACTGAATATAGCTGTTTCATTAGTCTACAAAAATAATGTTTTTCTAAATTTTCCCATAACCTCCCTTCCATCATATGCATTTTTAAGTAATTTTCTAAAATATTTAAGTGTATTTTATGGTAGCAGTACCTGGCCCGAGGCCTCATCAGACATTTTTGTTCACTTACCTTCACTGAGGACCAAAACTGGCGTTGGAAAAACAAATAAGGACCAGAGTTCTTGTTTTCTAAGATGCTGGAAAATAAAAGATTTCTCTAAACTTGTTTAATAAGTAACCATAAAAATTTCAGTCTGAAGGTTGTGCACTACGCTTATTTTCATGAATGGAGGGCAAACTATAATAAAAATTCCAAAGTTTCAAATAATTTTTTCATTATTTTCACCTTATTACAGTCTTACAGTATGTTATTAAACCTGAAAAAAATCACTATAACCCAAAACTAAGAACCAGCCCAGAGCTACGAAAAAGCCTCAGCTACCATATGCAAGACAAAAGGCAACTGGTATTGCCAATCAAGATGTTTATGGCTGTTTTGCACATTTAACAAGCAACTTACTTTTTGGGGTACAATGGCATGAATACATCGTCATCTAGCGTTCTTCTCATTCTTAGTAACAGGGCCTTCAAAAGTGTCTGAAAAAGTTGAGATGAAAATGCTAAAATTTTTTGCAGTCCTGCTTTGGTTGTTAGCTAAATTAAAGATCTCTTTAGAAGTTAAAAAAGCAAAGTGCTTTAAGCCCCAATTCAGCAAAATACATAAACATACTTAACTTCAAGTATGCGAGTAGTCCCACTGAAGTCAAATATTGGAAATATCTACAATTAACAAGTCAGTAAAAATACTGGACTTCAGTTTAAAGGGAACATAAGTCAATGTGGCTACTCCTGTGCTTAACTTTAAACAAATTCTTAACAATTTGCAGGATCAGGGTCTTACACAGTCTTAATCTATCAACTCTGCTGGGAGTTCTCTCTTATTATTCTAAGGTTTGCATTCACACTCCGTTAACGCCGATACTGTAAGTATACGGCTACGACACTGCAAAATATCATTAAGTTGTCAAAGACAAGTTCTTTTATCATACAAGACAAGCAAATGTGGCACTCAATCTAGAGAAGGTTCTATCAGTACAATATGCTATGAAAACCGAAGCAACGGTGTTTCCAACTGAACCTTAAAGTGAAATTATAAGCCCCGTAACTGAGTTTGGTACATTTTGAATCATCCTGTTCAAATCTTATTGTACATTTTGTACAGACTCAAATGGCTTAGCTCCCTTCCTGGTTTACTTCCCCCAGCTGCTGCACTGGATCTTTAGGGCTACGGAATTGGGCACTGACACATCCATTAGTTGTAAGATTCTGCTCCTTGCTCCAATGTGTGTAATGTCTCTCATTATGCTGCATAAATTCTATAAAATAGATTCCCAAACAAGTGTGACTGAGGGGAAAAAAAAAGTTACCTGTGTATTTTTGTTTTCTGCGTTTACCACTGAAGGGTATCCATTTACTAGTTTCTGTGTAACTGCTACCATCCTAGATGTCTGTGTCGTAGAAAAAGGGTCCCATATACTTTCAGCAAGTACTAGTAAAAATAATTAAGAATTACTATACAGTTTTCTTTGCAGGTGCTCAAAAAGTAGGTATTAAGACAGTTAAATCATACGAAAGTTGTTTTCTCCTGTATTTACTATGGTTTAATATTTGTAGAAGTTACAAAATAGCATTTTTAAGTTATACCTGTTAGTTTAGGGAGAACAACTCTTTCCACAATGGTAGGTAATAGCGAAATATCAGCATCATCCTTCTCTTGCTCCTGTTCTTCACAGCCATAAAATAGCAACGATTCAAACCACAACATACTCTCAAAATCTTGACACTTGCCCTATTAAAATTAATAAGGCTGACATTAATCCCATACATTTAAACATTGTTTGAGGCCAACAGTAGTTTTAAAGAACCTGAACAACTTATTTAGCCATCCTAAAACATCAGCATAATACACTTGAAGGCCTAAGTTTTTTTCTCCTTTTAAAAAGAAAAAAATAGCTTTGGAATTATGTGCCAAGTATCCTCGACATCCTAAAAGTATTAAGCACATTAGCCATTAGACAAAGGGCCAGATTTTTAAGAGGCGTTTAAGCGCCTAATGGGATTTTCAAAGGCACCTAACTCGCATGGAATTCAATGCAGACTTCTGTCTGCATCTTTATCTGGCCCAAAATACCTTAGTTAAGCACATAACACTTAGGTCCTATTAATTTCTGCAACTGATTCTGCGTGACTGAGGGTAAGCCACTCTGCCTTAATTTCCCCATTAACAAAATGGGGAGCGTATTCACTTATTTCAGAGAGATGTAAAGTACTTTGTTTTCTTATGTTCGTGGCATACAAATAATTGGCTACCACTCTGTACAAAACCCCAGTATGGAATATGCTAGTGATACCATATTAACTACAGAATCCTGATGAAAAAGGCCTATTTTATATAAGAAAACCACATTTATATGCCCATTTTGTAGCCTATGGAACATAAATGGTTAAACCTGCAAGCACCAAAATGTCTCATGTATCCACAAACTATTAGATTTGTGATTCTACTCCACATGGACAGATATTGGGGTACATCTATTAACATTATTTATAACCACCTATCCCCTTCCTGGTATCAGCCCTGTTTCTATATTCCCACATAAGTGAAATGAATAGCCATATCATTAAAAATTGTAAGTAGAAAGCCATCTGGCATGTTTTCAACATACTTATATGCTTAACTGGGAAATAAAATAGCTCATTTTATTCTGAAGGTACACTCAACAGTAAACAAGTTTAAAATGTTTTAAGATCTGTTTTCCCTTAAGTGCTTTTGTTCTAAATCAGGAGTCGGCAACGTTCGGCACGCGGCTCGCCAGGGTAAGCACCCTGGCGAGCCGCGTGCCGAACGTTGCCGACCCGTTCTAAATAAATACTTTGCTTTAAGAAGGCTATTTGGTTACTGGATACCACTGTCATTGCTCCCAAAGGAAAGAGAACTGCAGGTGTTGAACTTAAGTCAGACCTGCTGTGGTAACCACAGGGGACAACAGTCTGAGGCCCGGTCTGAGCCTGGAAGAATCATATGATTCCATTAAAAAAAAAAAAAAAACAAGAGGTTATGAATTATATTTCCATACCTCCTGGGAGACCTAACCATGGTCTAGGACCACACTGTGTTTAGATGTGGTACATAAAGAACAAAAACAAAGTCCCTGCCCTAAAGAGCTTACCCCTTATAAACTTGAGGCTCAAGACCTGAGAGTGGCATAGTCGAAAAGACCTGGAGGGTAATTCACCTTGTTTTGAAAAAATGACGCTCTACTGCACAACAGTTCACTTAATTTTAATTGCAGTATCTTACCTCCAAAGGAGTCCAGGTAAGGAGCTGAAGTCTTATTAAAGGATTAAACAGCTTTGGTAAACAGAGGCCAATATAAGCATCCTTGTAAGAAGAAAAATACTTGGAACGCCAGGCTTCAAACTGTGATTTAATGCAGTCAATTGAGTAGAAGCTTTCTAGTACATCTTCAAAAACTTTGCTGGACTCCTTCAAAATGCGATCTAGGGGAAAAAAGTGTAGAGAACTAGGTAACAAGCTGATGTTCTATTGTCTGCAAGAGCTCCCATAAGGTGGTTTACCCAAGCAAATTAAAGGAGATTCAGCTTAGAAACTGACAAAAGCAACAACAACAAATCAGTTTTCTAGTTTCTGCTCCTCTATTCTTCCCACACACTGCAACACAAACAGCGCCTGGGTGCTACAAGTGTCTATTTGGTATATTGTTTTATCATGCAAATATGTTTTACATTAAGATCTAGTAAGCTTCTGTAGCACCGCCAGTTTTGTTTCAGTAGTAGCCAGTAGTGGGACTGTATCAATAATGATAAATAAGGGTGAAAATGAAGAACTATGTGCCACGTTTTAAGTGTGATGGGGCATCCTTAGTACTAGCCAGTCAAATGAGGGTTCCAGAAAGTGTGGATTCAGACATGTGGATCTTAGTGTGTGTATTGAACTGTTGATAATGTTAATATACATATATCACATTTAGTGAACATTACAATTAACAGGAACTTTTTTGTATTTTTACTGTACTAATAGTTTGCTAGCCTAGCAGCTGTCCAAGTTCCTCCTTTATCCTTTTACTCCCTCTCACCCCTTTTCTTACACTATTACATTCTCTTCATTTTAGTCATCCCTTCTTCCTGCAGCTCTAGTTCTCTTTGTTGTAAATAATGTTTAGAGTTAGAGCATCAAGAATATAAAGGAGACAAACTTCAAAGGGCCCTTCCTGTAGCTCTTCAGTTCCAAAAGAGAAACCAATGAGAGGTGTTACACAGTGAAGCACCATATAGCTGTATCTTTTACACCGGGCTCCCACAACGGTGATACCTAAACTAAGAACCTATTAAGTTGTCCCAGAGATCTTTAACTGCCATTATGTCCCAGTTATATGTGCGCCATTTGTGCATCTTGCAATCCAAAATGAATCTATGGTATGTGTCATATGAATATACTAGAAGTCTTTAATAGATACTGAGCAGGCATAGTATCTGTTTCTAAATCTCGTATATATGCACAAGAAGCCAAGTTAAAACAGCAGTTCAGGCACTAAGTTTTTAACTAGATAGTTGAAGTTAATATTGTTTTTAAACACAGTTTTATTGTACCTGCAAAAAACCTAAACAGACACTCCACTTTACAAAACTCAAACAGATTACTCTTATGCACTGATAGCAGTTTTCGTGAAAACGCAGCCAATTAAAAGAATGGAAATGTTAGGGTTATAGGCTTACAGGGCTTAGTCACTACACAGCCCATTTAGTTACATGTATGCAAGGAAAAAAATATTAAAATTTCAAACTATTAGTGCAACATAGCTCCATAAAAATTGTCAATAAGCTTATAGACACTTATGCAGAACTTCAGAAAAGACACTGTCCTACCAAAGTCTGTGACTTCAGAATTCTAAGGGATAATAGAATATCATGCCAAAAATCACCCAAAAATAGTTTTTTAGAAGATAGAGTTCAAGTGTCCCCTATTGAACAATGAATTGCCAAAATCCACACAAACTTAAATGTTTAACTCTTTGTCATTAAAGGGAGCATGTGTTTCATAATACAAAAGAAACTACTCAGACTTGCAAAGAAAGAGAGCACTGAATTTGTGCAAAAATATATGGTGGCATGGGGAAGGAGGCATGTTGTTACCCTTTACTGTGCAAGCTTGTTCAGCAAGAAGGGAGGAAGAGCAATTCTTCTATTTTAGCTAGAATATCTCCATAGAATAAATTGAGTTTGTATATGATTTTAGAACAGGTCTGTTAAACTTGGTTTTAAGAGTTGATATTGTCCCCATCAAGTTCCATATTCTTATTAAATGCTTTTTTAAAAAACAACTTCAAGTCACTGTTGAGATTCTGTTATCTTGTCATTCTGAGTCTAGAAAAAATCCATATTGTGTAACATGCATTTTTTTTATTTTTTTTTAGGATTTCCATGTTCAGTTAATAAGTGAGTGACTTTTCTAACCTCGTTCCATGTTGAAATTAGTAATATCTGTTGAAGTTTCTTCATCATCGCTAGAAAGGCCTTCAAAGTGATCTGCCATCTTCCCAGTTTGTTCTCTTGCTTGCCTACGACGGGCTCTATAAGGCAGCAATATAATTACAGTATAAACCAATCATTAAGATCTTTGTACAAATGAACAACGGTTTTAGCCATGCTGGTCCTGCTCCTGACCCCGGAGAGCCAAAGTAAAGACAGCCTCTCCATCCCTCACTATGGGAACTAGGGAAAAGCAGTAAGGACTGCAGAAAGACTGGAGTGGCTTATAGGCATTTTCAGTAACTTTAGCAAGCACCATCTGATTGGCTGCTTCCACATACTAAGCCTGAATATTTCTTTGAGGAGATCCTTGGCAAGCACATAGGCTGAGGCATGAGGCGCCTGGACAGAGGGATTAGGATGAAAGGAGAAAGTTTAGTTACAGTTCTCCTTCCAACAAACCAGATACGTACTTTTGTCATTTAACTGAAATGTTCTCTCCATTACTACACAAAGCAGTCTCTAAGTTGTCCAGGGTGTGGACAGCGCTTTCCTACATGTTATTACATCATGCAGGGATTTCCATGATACTGCATGAAGCCTTTGGGTGCGACCCCAAGAGAGTCAGGAAATCTCAGTACTGTACCTTCTAGCTTCCCTTTCCGCAGTCCGCCGTTTTACATATTCTTGATAGAGTGCTCTGTCTCGTCCAAAAGAATCAAGATTTGGTGCCATCAGTGCTTTACCTGCAAGATTACATTGATTGAAATTAAAACACTTTCATCTACAGTAACAGGGAATAATGTGTTGTCCAGTTGTATTTTGAAGCAGCTGAAAACAGACAAACTCAAATGTTTGAATCTGTAGCTACTAGAGGTTGAGAGAAGTAGTGATGGAAGTTGGAATCTCAAATTGAAGATACTCCAAATTTATTCAAATACAAATCTTGCTTCATCACACTTCAGTCTTCCCCTCTAATACTGGTGCTCACAAGTTATCAACACTCCGTGGCCTAAAGCAGTAAATGTTTAAACTGCTTGATACAACAAAAATGGAAAAACTGTACTGCTGCTATAAATATAGCATTCAGCATGCAACATTTTAAAAACACTGAGTGAGAAGAGAAGAGGGGGAGGGAAGAGAAAGGCAGCCCTGTAACAAAGATTTAGTATCTCAGACTCCTATTCATCTAGTCTTGCTTCCTGGAATAAAATCAATTTCACTAAGTTACGTGTAGGTTTTGATATGTATCTGAAACTCCTAGGAAATAAAGCCTAAGTTTTTTCCATTTTTTTTTAAAAACAACAATTCAATGATAGATCATTCTGACTAGCTACATTAAATTCTGCTCTTAATCAGTGAAGCCGGTGATAAGCCATCGACTGAAATTAACACAAAAGAGTCTCCAGCTTGTCTAATCTTTGAGATAAATTCTCACAAGTATTACTTGATACCAGATCCACCCACTAGAATATAAACATCACAAGATTTCAACGATAACTTTATTTTTGTGTAGTTTGAGGCTATGCATTCTTACCAAACCAGGTTATCAAATCATTCATCATTTAAGAATGTTAATGCTGATTTGTCTTAGTGTTCCTATTTAAGAAAGGTAAATCCTTTCGGAAAACAAGAAGTTTGAGAACCCCTGCTCTAAAGCTCATTTCACCGTAACCCCCTTCTGACAACAAAAATTACTTCATGACCCCAGAAGGAGGGACTGAAGCCCGAGCCCTGCCGCCCCCCACTCCAATGGGGAGGGGCAATAACCAAAGCCCAAGCTCCACTGCCCCGGGCGGGAGGGCCAAAGCGGAAGCCCAAGGACTTCAGCCCCAGGCAGGGGGCCTGTAACCTAAACCCCGCCACCCAGGGCTGGAATCCTCAGGCTTCAGCGCCAGTGCTGAGGCTTGGGCTTTGGCCCTGGGTCCAGGAAAGTCCAAGCCAGCCCTGGCAACCCCCGTAAGACAGGGTTGTGACCCATTCTGGGGTCCCGACCCACAGGTTGAGAACGGCTGCTTTAGAGCATGGGTGAAGTTGTAATTTGTTCAATATGTTACATCTGTCAAGATTATGTTACAGACTGTAACAAGACAGAGTAAAGTAACCATTTAGGGAACCTGTTTAAGTCTATTCCAAAGATAACAATTTTTTGGTTTAAGGAGTAAAGTGAGCTGATTGTCAAGTTGATGTGTTCGTGCACCTCTGATTGAGAAACTGACTGACACTTGTTAGTCTCAGTGGAGAGGAGGACAGGACTGAAACATTTCAGGAATATATCTATGTATATCTATTTACCAAAATATATTCTCAGGGCTCCCATTCTTCAGATAAGGCTTCCCCTTTATGACAGTATCCAGACTCTTCCCATCCCCAAAAATCACATTGTAATCCAACAAGCCCCACTGTAGGCTCCCTAAGCAAATTTGCTCAGAGCATACTTGGCATATCACAGGCCTCAAAGCAATGCACCCAGGGTAAATGGGAGAGCCAGCACGAGGCCTATGCTCAACTAAGCTCTCAAAAGAGGGTGAGTGATTTTAACTTTAGAGTTAATAAGGCTGTGGGCACATGATGAATATTATTTCAAAAGGGACTTGCAGTGGGCATGAGAATGTAGTTTTGTAACAAGGTATAACATCCGTTTTCGATTGTTCTTAAATAGATGAATGGGTAATGGGTATAGATGTGGATACCAGAAAGTGGGGACCAAGGTGAATTTTGATTGCTCAGAGGACACGTTTTCTACATATTTAAAAAAAAAAAACCTGAGGGCAATGAACACTTTTAAAATGGAAATCTCCTTAAAAGCAGGAAACCAGATCTACCAATTTCAGGAAAAGTTTTCAAAAGCACCTGAGTGAAATTTTACATGATATCATTAGTATGTAGAATAAAATATTCTCAAGGAAAATGGTAAATAAAACGAGCATCTGTGTTTTTTTGCAGAACTTATTTTACGCATTTAACAGTGATCACCAGAACGGAGATACTGATCAATTTTTTTTAAATTGATTTCCACTTCTGGAGCAATGGTCTCAAAAGGAGGCTATTATGTATAAAGTATTTGTAATATTACAAAGTTAGCATTTGAATACTACAACTTAAATTTGGCTAAGAGAGAAAAACTATCCTCCAGCCTCCTTAGCTTTGAAGTGCTTTTTCTTTTCTAAGTGTCTGAAACTTACACTGTTGAAACGTAACACTTACTGCTAACAGAATAAACTGTACTTTTTTAAAGTCTTCAGATTATTAACATTTAAAAAATCCTTTTTGGAAATCAACGGTAGATGTATCATGAATTTTGTATCTACATTAATTTAAGTAGGTCAAAAGAGAGCCTGACATAAGGAAAAAGTTTCATTCCAAACATCACTACTCTCAAATATCTTGAATGCTAGGAAAGAGAAAGAATATATATAGTTAAGACTAGCAGATAGGACAGATAAAGTCTCAAGAGTAAGAATGTCTCAGTATTTAAACAAAACAGATCAGAATACTTTAAAATCTGAATTTGCTTCTAGTCGTCACAAAAGATAAGTTTTAAGTCAATCATGCTCTGCAGTATTTATTTTTAAATTAAACCATACTAAGTAAACAAGGTTGTTTAATGAATAATAAAAACCTTCAAGATGGACTGACTTGAATGGCTTGAAAACTCCGAAGATTCATCTTTAATATCATCTTGTCGTCTTTGGACAAGGCGGGAAGCTCGCTGTTTGTACAGCTGATGCATTGCTGACTCGAGTTCATTAATCAGGGGCACCTGTAAAAATATAACACACTACGTAATATCAAACTCTTCAGGTGCCTAATTGTCTGGGGTACCATACTATTCCAAGATGCAATGTAGGCTGTTGCAGTTTTTAGATACATCAGTTGTTTTCTTTTACCAGCTGATATCTTTGGAGCCAATATATGCATTTGACAGAGTTTATAATAATGGCCTTCAGTTATAATACAAAAGTTGCACAAGTAGTTTTCATTGATTGAGCAGCAGTGTGAAAAGCCTGAATAGTAAGTTAATGGCTGATTTAAAGAGATGCAGAACTAGAGTATAAATGCCACAAATGTATTCCATGGGATTGTCTTCACTGTATGTACTTGTAAACAGTGTTTTGTGCTAATGTTTACAATTAGCAGAACTCACTTTTACAACATACTAGATACTGATACTAGATACTGATTCAAAATTAGTTTACTGAGAAAGTAAGCTATTGACAATAAGCGGTACAGAAATAAAACATACACTGAACTTACTAAATCAATGCCAATGATTAATATCAGTGCATTTACTATTACTGAATTTTATAACTGAAACATCATCCGCATGCTATTGTGTATGACAACTGATGCTCTAAACCTGAAAAAAATTTACTTAAGAGCATAATTTTCACTTCAATGGTACTAGTCATGTAGGAAAGCTATGCACTTGTGTAAATCTTTGCAGGACTGGAGTCTAAGTCCGTGATGATCTGCTACTCACTTTTTAATAAAATAACTAATGTATTTCAGTTGTACCTTTACTTCTAAAGTAATTGTATATTACAGCAATTAGAATTTACTGTGTTGGACAGCAGCCTCATAACTTATATTGGGTGATCCCAGTTCCTGGCACCAAGGAATTAAAACTGGCCATATTTCTATTTGAATACAATAAACAGTAATTCTCAGTTTATTTGGCAAGACACCTCCTGTAATGTATTCATATCTGGCATTAAAACACTTATGGTATGGCCTCCTTACCTCTGAAATATGTCTAGTTCAAAATCTTACAGCTCTTTAGTTCAAGCATTTTACTGCTACCTAAAATCCAAGGTTTTTTAATAAAGAAAGGCTTCAGAAAAATGTTTTCTGAACTAACCTAGAACTGGAGTCAATATTTGGAAAACTCCTCCAACAAAGCTTAACACTAAAGGTACTGTAGTTGAAATGGCCACTGCAGGTACCCAAAGGAACTACAAGTCAGGTTTTCCTTGATAGCAAGGGAAAAAAGAAAAGTGTCAGCTCTTCACATTAGCATTCTTGGCCTGAGAACATCAGCACCAACAGGTCAGAACAGCTTCTTGAACTAATTGCAAATGGATACAAAAAAGTTTTTAAATTTTCTAGCGTTAAATAAATTCTGAACTCAGATTTACAAGACTTTTCAAAAACGGATGTAACCAAAAAGTAATGTTAACTGAAGGGTGAAGTATATATACTAGCTTTATTGTGGTTTGTGTTCATAAAGAAAATAGCTTCTTCCTGTGAGCAGTTTATTCTACAAATTTTAACTGAAGAGTTCAAAGAATGTTTAAAAATGTCCCCAGAGGTTTCCTCCAATCAGTGTCTGAACTTCAAAAGATAAGCTAAACTTATGCATGAGTGTTTGAATACAATCAAAACAAATCCTTCTGGGGACCAAATAAATTGAGGAGTTAGTACTCTTTACATCCACAATATTGCAGCTGGTGATTAACCTTGATGGCTCACACTACCTATTACATTGTTATAGTTTTAAAATTCATATGCATTTAATCCATTAACATTTGGTTGTTACCTTCTTTTCTCAAAAAAATAAAACAAGAAAAAAAATCAATGTGCAGAGATTTGTGCACAGTATCTCATTCCATTTGCATCAGTTTTTATTTACAATTATTTCCAAAGTGTGCTTTGGTGATGCATCAATACTGTGATTACAGTATTGATTACAATATAATTTAACTAACATCCAGTTGGACATCCACGAATAGTCTCACCCTCCCACATCTTTTCCATAGCTATACAATAAAAGCAAGATATGATGGCCAATATCTTTACCTTCTAAGAGAGCCAAAAACAGTGTTGTGTTAATTGTGGTAATAGGATGGCTGAAAGCCATTCCTTGTTTTGTGACCCTCTAACATCTCACAAACTAAGCAGCACGAAGGCAAAAGTCTTGGAATAAGACATCACCTAGCTCCTGCAAGAAGTGATTGCACCAAATCAGCAGGTGGCACTCTTCAACCCAACTTAAGTCAGTTAAATCCCAATGACAGCATGGCATTGTGGGACACTCTGCTGTGGGAGTTGCCATCACTTGGATGAGATGCACAGTCAGGATTCTGATCACCTATGATCATTCCAGATCTTGTAGCACTGCATGTAATGCAAGAGGTATTAACTTGAATTAACATTTAGCCAGGACAAGGAATTGTTACATACGGCCTAAAATTCTCCCTGCGCTTTAAACCAAAATAGTATTAAGGTATGATTCTGCAAACTTTTAGTTGTGTGAGCACTAGTCATGCAAATAGTTTCAGCTAAACGAATGGAAGTATCCATAGAAGACAATGCAGGATTTGGCCCTTAATACTGACAACCAGTAAATCTTCAATGATCAGAAATTTAAAAAGTCCCACAAAAAGTGGAAACTAGATCAAATTACAAAAGGATTAATATAAACAAATAAGTATGCAGGGACAAAATTAGAAAGGTCAAGGCACAAAAATGAGATTAAACTAGATAGAGACATAAAGGGTAATAAGAAAACAGTCTACATATACATTAGAAGCAAGAGAATGACCAGGGATGGGGTAGGCCTGCTACTTAATTGGGGGGGGGGGGGGGAGGAGAAGAGGGTGCGGGGAGGAGAGACAACAACAACAGAAAATGTGGAAATGGCAGAAATGCTAAATGATTTTTGTTTCAGTTTTCATCGAAAAGGTTATTAGCAATTGGACGTCTAACATAGTGAATGCTAGGGAAAATGAAGTAGAAGGAGAGGCTAAAATAGGGAACAAGTTAAAAATTACTTAGACAAGTTAAATGTCTTCAAGACAACAGGGCCTGATGAAATACATCCTAGAATGCTCAAGGAGCTGACTGAGGAGATATCTGAACCATTAGCAATTATCTTTGAAAAATTATGGAAGATGGGAGAGATTCCAGAGGACTGGAAAAGGGCAAATATAGCGCCAATCTAAAAAGGAAGTAAGGACAACCTGGGAATTACAGACCAGTCAATTTAACTTCAGCACCCGGAAAGATAATGAAGCAAATAATTAAGCAATCAATTTGCAAACACCTAGAAGATAATAAGGTGATAAGTAACAGTCAGCATGGATTTGTCCAGAACAGATCATGTCAAACCAACCTAATAGCTATCTTTGACAGGGTAACAAGCCTGGTGGATAGGGAGGAAGCAGTAGACATGGTATAGCTTGAATTTAGTAAGGCTTTTGATACGGTCTTGCATGACCTTATCATAAACAAACTAGGTAAATACAACCTAAATGGAACTTCTATAAGATGGGTGCATAACTGGTTGGAAAACTGTAAAGAGTAGTTTTCAGTGGTTCACAGTCAAGCTGGAAGGGCATATTGAGTGGATCCTGCAGGGATCAGTTCTGGGTCTGGTTCTGTTCAATATCTTTATCAATGATTTAGATAACGGCATAGAGAGTACACTTACAAAGTTTGAGAACGATACCAAGCTGGGAAGGGTTGCAATTGCTCTGGAGGATAGGATTAAAATTCAAAATGATCTGGACAAACTAGAGAAATGGTCTGAAGTAAATAGGATTAAACTCAATAAGTACCAATGTAAAGTACTCCACTTAGGAAGGAACAATCAGTTGCACACATACAAAATGGGAAATGACTGCCTAGGAAGGAGTACAGCAGAAAGGGATCTAGGGGTCATAGTGGATCACAATCCAAATACAAGTCAGTGCAACACTGTTGCAAAAAAAACAAATATAATTCTGGAGTGTATTAGCAGGAGTGCTGTAAGCAAGACATGAGAAATAATTCTTCCACTCTATTCTGCACTGATAAGGCCTCAACTGGAGTACTGTGTACAGTTCTGGGTGCCACATTTTAGGAAAGATGTGGACAAACTGGAGAGAGGCCAGAGAAGAGCAACTAAAATTATTAAAGATCTAGAAAACATAACCTATTGGGGAAGATTGAAAAAACTGGGGTTGTTTAGTCTGGAGAAGAGAAGACAGAGGGGCCACGATAACAGTTTTCAAGTACATAAAAGGTTGTTACTAAGGAAAGGGAGAAAAATTGTTCTCCTTAACCTCTGAGGATAGGACAAGAAGCAATGGGTTTAAACTGCAGCAAGGGCAATTTAGGTTGGACATCAGGAAAAAAACTTCCTGTCAGAGTGGTTAAGCCAGGGCTCTCAAACTTTTGTACTGGTGACCCCCTTTCACATAGAGAGCCTCTGAGTGCAAACACCCCTAATAAATATATAAAAAAGTTTTTAATTTAACACCATTATAAATGCTGGAGGCAAAGCGGGGTTTGGGGTGGAGGGTGACAGCTTGCGACCGCCCCCCCATGTAATAATTGCGATCCCCAGTTTGAGATCCTGGGTTAAGCGCTGGAATAAACTGCCTTGGGAAGCTGTGGAATCTCCATTATTAGAGATTTTTAAGAATAGGTTAGATAAACACCTGTCATAAACAGTCTAGGTAATACTTAGTCCTGCCATGAGTGCCAGGGACTGGACTAGATGACCTCTCAAGGTCCCTTCCAGTCCTACGATTCTACTTTATCCTAAAAACCTATGTAACTGTTACTACAGTATAGGTTGCACCTCAGTGTTGTGTGAAATGCAATTCTTTCATATCTAAAACTGTTTGATACTTAAAAATATGCTAAGTAAAAAAAGTGAATAATTCAGAAAGATTTCTGCCCCGGCGGGGGCGGAGAAGGAGAGGAGAGGTACAAAGATAGCAGGGAGACTAGATCGATTTTATAGAACTAAAATGTTCTCGTTATTGCCGGAGTAAGTCTATACACCACTAGAACTTCCACATCTCTCTGCTCAATCTCTTTCTGAAGAAAAATGTATTGTCATGAACCCATTTGTGCTCATTCATGCAAAGTTTCCCTGTAGTGCCAGCATTAATGTGAAAATGACTAACCACAATCCTCACCAGTTTCAGTGTTATAGAACAAGATACGTCTATAGTAAACCTACCCTAAATTCTCAATTACTATGGGACAATCTTCACTCATTGATATATTTTACTTTCCACAACCATCTCTGTACAACTTTTCATGAGTGGCATACCTGAGTATTTGGATTCTACTATCTAAACTATATTGTTTAAATTTATTCACCTAAATTTGGGTTATTGCAGATTATGCATTATATGCATCTTATGACTTTTAAAACCAACTTTGTATTTGTGGATATCTAAGCACTATACCCAGATGTACAGACACTATTTTCTTAATCTGTGTACTATATAATTTTTTTAACATTAGCTTTAATAAAAATGTTATTCTGTGAAGTTTTCTACAGTGGTAAATGAACTGCATTATTATAAATTTAAAACAAATTAAAGCCAACATGAGATACCCAAGGCCCAGAGCAACCTGAATCTAAATTCTGCATCTCTAAATTCAGACTGGAAATTCTACTGCTGCAGTTTCATTTAAATAAAATGAAAGAGGTTTTAACGACCCAATATGAAAATTCTGCAATGTGGCTGCCTCTATGTTATTTTATGCTGCCCCACAGTTTTACCTTTTCATGGGTTACAGATCTTTGTAGTAACGCATTACAGATTTATAAAAAACAGGCGGTGGGTTCCAGTGCAAATTCTGTGGCCATAGAATTAGGGAATACATAGAATCTTGAGAATATTTAAGTTTTCATGCGGCATTTAAATATTAGTCAAACTGTCTGCATTAGGCCCCAATTTTACACTTCACTTTGTGTATGTATCTCTGTGGACTTCAACTGAAGCCAAAGTCGTTCTGTATGGATGCAGGATTATGCTTGGGTGCAGTCAATTGTAGAATCAAGGGCTTAGTTTTTTTGGCAACTTATTGAAAGTATTGCTTTATATAGGCACAAGGTTTAGCAAATTTTAAAGTTAAGGCCTATTTTTTCCCCTAACAAGTCATCTATAGAACATCCAGAGAGAGATGAGAGTAGACAATGACATACTAAAGGAAGGCAGATTTAACAAATTCAAGTCTCAAATACCTCCATGTATAGTAGGAAACTGACCAGTTTTTGCCCATGTTTGTCAGCAACAGATCCCCTACACCAATGTTGAAAATAACTCAACTGTTAGTATCAGAACTAGTTTTGGTCCATTACTGTTCAGTTAATTTTTTAGTGTAGACCAATGTCTTGTACATATTCAGAACTGCACCAACATGAAGGTGTGATTTTTAAGACTGATTTAAACTGCAAACCAGTGTGGACACTTTTTTTTAAATAAACCTGGTTTAAAACAAATTAAATGTCCACGCTGTTTTACAGTTGTTTAAAATCAGTCTTTTTAAAAAGTCACACCTTTAAACTGGTGCACTTTTGAATAAAGACAAGGTCTGAGAAGAGAAGCCAAGTCCATAATTTATCTGGATTGTACTTTAGACACACAACAACAAAACGAGGCAGTAATAAGTTGTCAACCTCATTACCTATAGTCAGCTAACAATGCTACAGGTTCAAAAATTTTGCTTCTTCAGTTAAGCAGCCTATAGTATGGCTAGTGGATCAAATGAAATAAACACAGTCCACCTTCCACACAGCTCAGTTTTGAGGACCAAGGTAGTTATTTATTCCCAATATTTTTTCCCCTAAATGGTTGATCACTGGTTTAACTGTTAACATTAAAAAGATTAGATGAAGTCTCAACTGGCATTGTTCTGTTCAGAGAAAAAGTTAGAGAGTAATGTGTTTCAAGTGCTTACACAGAGGTTGTTCAGAGGCATTCTGCTTGATACGTAGTGGTGAAGATTCAGAGTACAGATGGGGGATTTTCTGAAGAGCTCCACCAGCAACAGACAGCAGCTAATCTCACTATAGTAAGAATCAATTGCTTTATCAACCTGAATGTTTGGTAGGTGTGAAGGGAAGCCTACAGATAGAAAAAGTAAAAGCTGCCACTTTCCCCATCCTAAATACTCAGTTCTGTTGGCTTATGTAATAGCTTCCTATTGCATATAAAATAGAAGTCACTTTCAGGGAAAGACGAGTTATAAAGCCTACATCTATACTCTCTCCTCTGTATTGCAATTCACTTGTGTACGGTACACATGACCCATAAGATCGTTAGCATGTAATCTTTTCACCAAATTTAACTAAAGTAAATTTAGATTAGATTTCCATACAAATTAACTATTAATATTAATATTTACAGAATTGAAGTATAAAGGATATTTCCACTATCTTAAATGGGAGATAAAATTAATTCTTCCAAGTTAGAAGTATACAACAGAGTAACCTTAAAAAAAAACTTCTGAAATCTTCAGCTAGCTATGCTGATTCTAAAACTTTTCCAGCCAAATAGATATCAAAACCCTGCTGAATATTTTAAGCTGTCTACTAGCAGAAAATTTACAGCAAAAAGCAGAAATGTGTTATATGGCACTCATTAATGCTTCCAGAAAACGTTAGTGTTGCACCTCAACCCCATTTTACCTCAATGCAATCTAACAATTCACCAATAATGGATACTAACTTTATCCGTTAACATGGCATCCAATCTGTGTATATGGAAGTGTGAGTAAATATAAAAAAAAATAAAATCAATTTCTTGAACATTCTAAAAAAAACAAAAAACAACACACCACACATTTCAGTCAAGTCAGCACTTACATTCCAACTGGAAGTACACCAGAGATCTGTTATACTGTAAAAGTGAGACTTCTCTTTACAAGCCTAGTGTGATGAAAAAGTGACTTTTCATCACCTCTAAAACCAAACCTTCTGTTGAGTATGCTCAGATTTTTTTATTTGTGTGTGGGGGTAAGTACAAAGAGGCATGTCTTTGGCCTGTACTAAGCTTCCCTACTTCTGTTTTATTGAAAAGAGATTAATGTTTTTGCATCCTTACCTTTTCACTGAAACACTCAAGCAAGTCTTGGACATACCCTCGCATTTCTTGCAAAAATTTATACCGTTCACCAATACCCCCAGAAGACCCTTCTAATCGTTCAATTGCCTTGGTAGAGTCCTCTCGGCTTTGTTGATGTTTCTCATGTTGCTGCTGATTGGCTTTGTTCAATTCTTTCATTGAGTCCAACCTGAGGGACAATGGATAAATAAATTTACATCGAAAAGTCTATATAACAGAAACTGTTGAGATATTAATCTGTTTCAGAATAAGAGAGCACAAGTACCAAATCTCTATAAGGAAAATATTTTTAAGATACATTCACTACCTGTGATTTGTCAATGCTTTCTCCCTTCTCCAGTTCTTATCAGCAAGGAGAGTAGTTTAAGTTATGACGGGCTAGACTCCGCGAGGTGCTGAGTACAGTCAACTCCTGTTAATCTCAACAGGAGTCAAAGGCACTTAGAACCTTGCAAGACAGAGCCTTAAGAAATTAAATTAGAAGCAAAGGCATATACTATATCTAGCACGAAATATCATCTATAACACAGCCTTTATTATAGTGCACTGACTAGACTCACTTCAGCTAATGGAAAGTTTTTAAGACAAGGGGCATACAAACCAGTTTTGAAGATATTACAAAAAGTGTGGGCTGTTCATTGTAAAATATTTCTCATTGCAATTGGATTGTTCATGCAGTAGGATCTTTTTGATACCTAACAAGGAGATTACAATGTTTAAGCCCTAAAAAACCCTCAGATTTTAGCCTAAAATGTAAGATTGTTATGTATTCAGGAAAAAAAAATCCGATTTACACACTTCATAAAAATGTTACTTCGTAAGCTAAATATCTCACTGTCCTTTAAATTCTTGACTACAAGATTTTTTTCAGTGTCCAGAAGATGCAACTCAGATCTGTCTTCAACAAGATCAAATTGCCACATTTTAAAAGCGTCACTTCCACAGAAGAAATCCAAGCAGACTTTTGAATGAAGTTTCAATGTCATCTTCATTTTGTTTTGTTTTTTAAATGATGTGCCAAGTCAGTGGTTTTCCAGCGATGAAATTCTGCATTTGCTCGAGATTAAAGGGTGCCTGAGGGAATAAAAAGCTGAGGACAAGTCTTTTAAGTCTAAAAAAGATGGTCTGCCCTACCTGTCTGTAAGCTGTTTCTTTACCAAATCAATAGTAACAGGAGTCATCTCATTACTGGGAGTTTTGAAAGGAAGTATATTATCTGTTTTTTGAGACTTGGTCTCTGATGATCCATAAGCAGCATAAGTGTAAGGAATGCCATACGATGAACCATAAGACATTGTCTGGTAAGAGTTGTGGTAGTACAGATTATTCACGTCAGTAGGCTGACTTGCTTGAACCTACAGAAACAAGACATGTAATACTCAAAATGCTTATGTTACTCTTTTAAAAAATATTACTTTGTAATTTAGTTTTGACATTTTATATGCAGAGCCAGAAGTTTTTCAAATCACAATTGTTATTAAAATTTTTCATAACCCACTAATGAAAGATAGATGGGAACAAACAGAGCCAAGATGTGTTCACAAAATTATGCTGTACAGTAATTAACAGAAGCAATCTCTTCCATGGAGAATTTCTTAGCATGGTTATCGTTATTTGTAGTAATAGCTCATGGCATACTACTGAATGAGGAGTTCTACTTTCAGCAAGCCTGAAACACCCAATTACTAAATATCCTAGGCTGTACTAATCTCTGCTGTTAATACAGCATAACAACATGCCATAAAAGCCCTTGAAAACTGTTTTCTAAAATTGTTTGTAAGGCCAACTAGTGTCCCCTTCCAACTCTGAGCCAGCTACTTCACCATTGCTGCAAAGCCACGAATTGCAGCTACCACAAGGCATAAGAGTCTTCCCCAAGAGGTCATAGGTAGAGCTGTACAAATGAGTTTTCAGTTTGCTGACGGTACTACTAAAAAAAAAAAAAATAACATTCTGAGTCAAAG